GTCTAACTCTGTGTACCTCAAAAGAATTATTATCTGACATTCTAAATACCTAGATATTACTAATAACTGTTTTAAACTATATATCTCCACCTCCTCTTCATCTACCTCACCAGCTGGCTAAACACCTGCCAGGATACGACAGAATAGAATAGAAATATCCTTTATTGTCCCTCATTGGAGACAAAAACTGTTCAGTTATTAAGTATTTAAAAATGATTAAAAACTGAAAATAGAAAAAATGTGCAAATAGCAGCAGTGATATAAACAACTAGAATATAAACATCGTATTGCTTTTGTTGGGAGCAGTGATGGTTAAAAAGTCTAACAGCTGCTGGGAGGAAGGCAGCAATGCTCCTTTGTGCACCCATGATGCAGCAGTGTCACTGAACGAGCACCAGTTCTCCAACAGCTTCATGCATGGGGCAGGAGACAATGTCCGAGACTGATGCTAATCTGGTTATAAGCTAACATTATGCCAGCTAACTCACACTTTTATACCATATGAGAGTTTATTCACCAGGCGTTTGTCAACTGTAGATCCACTTCAAAGAAAGCGTCAGTAACTCGTGCTAGCAGCAGCAAAAACAGCAAGAGCTCACCTCAGCATCATGTCATCGGACAGAAGTGAGCGTCACTGACTCATCGACTCATATTTCACAAGGTTTGACAGACTCCTCCAAGGTAAATAGTTGTGGAAACTCCAAACCTGGGATTGAGATGTAAACAGCGATCTAACAGCCTACGCTCACTCGATAAACTCCAGTGTTTGAGTTCGTTTGGGGATAAAAATGTAAAATATCACAAAATATTGGCCACATTTTTGTATTCCTGATTTGTTGTTTTGATATGATTAAAATGTGTTAAAATATAGTATGCACAAACTGTAATAGAAACTGAGAGGAAACGCAAGATGGCCAGCCACTATGCAGCACAGTAGGTGTTAACAAAATTTACACTTTGCACTCACAACTGGAAGCTCCGTCCATCTTTTATATAAAGTCGCTGGTTGATACACATTTTGTGTGTGGTCTGATAAGTCAGGCAGGAAATACTAAAACATGCTAGTGTCGTCATTTAGAGTAATTTAGTCAGGGATGTGTTTGGAATGCTAATATGCTAAAATGCTAATTTTAATGCTAATTCAGTATTATAGAAGCGCTTTAATTAGAAATTTAAAAGTATGCCTGTCGCTAACTTTAAAGACGTTATGAAATTTATCACAATGTTGAGAACCACAATACTTTTTTTTGGTTTATTTTGGGTGTTTGTTTTGGAAACAACTAAACAACAATGATCCGACGATCATAAGCAAACCAAGAGGAGCAAACCAAACCAAAAACATTTCTCTAAATCTTGTCCTACCCTTAGGGCCCATGGGTCCCCTGGGTCCTTCTCCTCCATTCTGTCCGGGCATCCCAGGTTCTCCAG